CGCGTCGCCAGCCCGGCCCGGCCTGTTCCTGCTCCCCGCACCGAGCCTATGGTGCGCGTCGCCGGCCCGGCCCGGCCTGTTCCTGCTCCCCGCACCGAGCCTATGGTGCGTGTCGCCAGCCCGGCCCGGCCTGTTCCTGCTCCCCGCACCGAGCCTATGGTGCGCGTCGCCAGTCCGGTCCGGCCCGCTCCTGCTCCCCACACCAAGCCAGTGGTGTGCGTCGTCAGTCCGGCACGGCCCGTGCCTGTTCCCCACACCAAGCCAGTGGTGTGCGTCGCCAGCCCGGTCCGGCCCGCTCCTGCTCCCCACACCAAGCCAGTGGTGTGCGTCGTCAGTCCGGCACGGCCCGTGCCTGTTCCCCACACCAAGCCAGTGGTGTGCGTCGCCAGCCCGGTCCGGTCCGCTCCTGCTCCCCGCACCAAGCCTATGGTACGCGTCGTCAGTCCGGCACGGCCCGTGCCTGTTCCACCGGTGCCTGGTCCGGCACCGGTCAGCTGCTTCACGCCGGAGCTAGAGCAATCCGCTCCACCAGTGTGCAGTCCAGCTCCGGTCAGCGGGGCCAGACCGGACCAGGGGTACTTTGGGGGGTTGGAGAGGGAGTGGGGATCAGGCCCGGAGCCGGATCCGCCGCCAAGGCGGAGTGCCCACCCGGTCCCTCCCCTGTGGTGTTCTGTTGGCGCGGTCGGAGTCCGCGCCTTTGGGGGGGGGTACTGTCACGCCCTGGCTCTAGGGACTCTCTTATGTTGAGCCAGGGTGTGTAGAGTCTATGTGTTTATGTTCCGTGTTCCTAGTAGGTTGTATTTGTCTAAGGACGTCACGTTATCGTTTTGTTGTTTTGTTCGGTAAATCACTAATAAATATGTTCGCAAATAACGCTGCGCATTGGTCCTCTGTTCCCGACGAGCGTGACAGTCATTATGGGGTATTGTGTGTAGATTGATGAGGGGGAAAAAACGATTGAATCCATTTTAGAATAAGACTGTAATGTAACAAAATGAAGAAAAAATCATGGGGTCTGAATAGTTTCCGATGAACCTTATCTTGGCAAAGGAGAAATGCTCACTAACAGGAATGTAAACAAATTTGTACACAGAATTTGAGAGAAATTAGCTTTTTGTGCGTATGAAAAATGTCTGGGATCTTTTATTTCAGCTCATGAAACATGGGGCCAACACTTTACATGTGTTTATATTTTTGTTCAGTATATCTTAGAGGCTATTTATACATACAATTTGTATAAAACCCATATGGGTGTGAGGCAACATCTCTCCCTGTGACTGTATGAGAAGGGGATTATGTAATGTATGTATTATGTTGAGTGTGTAATGTACAGTGTCTATTTTGTATACAGCAGTACTGTGTGTCTAAGACAATTTTCCACTTGGGACATTACATTCATCCTCTTCCTATAAGCTGTATCTATAATCATATGACAATATTTTAGGTTGACCATAATTCTATTACACTATTTCTGATACATCACATACCTTACTTTTTTTCCCCTGCATAAGTCAAATCAGGAAATGCATAATTTATGCCTCTACTGCCATTCATTCCAATTAGACTGGTTTTCGATTTCTCCCTGAAAAAGATGTTTGCCATATTTGCCCCATTCTGGAACTTTCAGGGATTATGACATAGCCCATCTAGTAATTTATTAGGATCTCTATTGATATAAAAGTGGACAGCCTCCGATGTGTTACCCTGGATACATTGATACTCTTTTACATGTATGAAATGTCTGCTTTTCCAGGTGGTCTTAATCTTAAAGTGGGAGGTGAGCTCTTGTTGAAACCAGACAAGTCCACAGTGACTGGCCCCATCACAAGCATCTTATGGAAGCATGGGAAGAACAAGGTGGCAGAGTGGGAGAAGGATTCTGGTCTGTATATCTATAGTCCCTTCCATCACCGCACAACCCTGTACAAGACTACTGGAGAGCTGAAAATCACTCGCTTGAAGAAAACAGACAGTGGAGTTTATTCTGTGGAGTTCAACAGCATACCGCTTAAGAAGACATATAAACTATCTGTTATCTGTAAGTGTTTCTGTGTGTGTGTGTGTGCATATATCTGTGTGTACGTACATGTGTGTGTGTGTGTGTGTGTGTGTGTGTGTGTGTGTGGTCGTGTAGAAACAGAAGGTTATGCAATGCCTCACAAGCATTTTTTTTTCAGTATACATTATACTGTGTATTATAAGTATTGGAGGTTTTCTTTCAAATTATCAGCTTAGAGAAAGTTTGTCCTTCTGTTCTCCTTAGCAACTGAAGCCAGCAGATCCAACAGTCCTAAAGATGAGGCAAAGCCTGAGGGTAAGACTGTCACGATCGTTATAGGAAACGGACCAAGGCGCAGCGTGATAGGCGTACATACTTTAATGAGTACTTAATTCAATAACAAAACAACAAAACGATACGTGAAGTCCTGAGGTTAACACAACACAAACCTTTACGGAACAAGATCCCACAATACTAAAGTGCCAAAAGGCTGCCTAAGTATGGTCCCCAATCAGAGACAACGAGCTACAGCTGTCTCTGATTGGGAACCACCCTGGCCAACATAGATATGAACGATCTAGAACAGACCCAATGAAAACTAAACATAACAAGTCCACACCCTGGCTCAACATTTAAGAGTCCCCAGAGCCAGGGCGTGACAAAGACACAGTGGCATTCACATGGAATTCTGCCACTTAGCATCCTTTTTATTGTCATCCAGAAGTGAACACAACAAATAATAATATAATAATATGCCATTTAGCAGACGCTTTTATCCAAAGCGACTTACAGTCATGCGTGCATACATTATTATTTTTTTGTGTATGGGTGGTCCCGGGGATCGAACCCACTACCTTGGCGTTACAAGCGCCATGCTCTACCAGCTGAGCTACTGAGGACCACACAAATACTACACAAATACTAATGTGGTCTGTGTATGAGAATGTATGAAAGGCAGTGATGGAGTCCAGCCAGAACAAGGCAAGTCATACAGTTAATTTAAGACTGTATAAACAGAAGTAACTTCTTTAAAGATGGACTATACAGAAATCCCTCCTCCATTTCCTGGTTGATAAAATTCTAATAGTTTACCTAATTTCAGTTTATGTGAAAAAACAAGCAGTCATTGTGTAGAGGATCATTGTACCATCTAAACCGCTGTGAAATATATTTTCCATAACCAAAAATATTGTATATTCAGCTGTTTGAAGCTGGTGTACAAAACTGAAACGGTAAGCATAGAAATAGCATACATAGAACAGATCTACCGCTTTTTAGAATTGGTTTCAATGGGAATGAAAGATCTATACATTTCTATGTGAATTTGGTTGGGTTGGCCAAAAAGTTACGTATTGTAGCTTTAAGTAGCATTTGATGCAGTAGGACAGAGGCTGTAGTTGATGTTTTCCTTCTGTGTGTGATTCTGCAGAGGTTACGGTTCCACTAATGGCCATCACCAGAAATCTGTTTTAATTGAATTAGGGACCTTTACTCACGTGTGTGTGTGTGTGTGTGTGTGTGTGTGTGTGTGTGTGTGTGTGTGTGTGTGAGTGCAAAGCTGTAATCCCACCACCCAGAATATTTCCACGTTTTCTCATCATAACCTTATGCAAACTTAAAGGGCAAATACATCCTAAATTCAAGGAACCTCTTCTACTCTGTTTACTGTAAACACATGTTGATGGATGGTGTAACTTTAGGGGATGATCAAGTCACCAAGCATGGAGCTTCAGGGATTCTCTCTGGGGTTGCCAAGGATACCATTCATAGCGCTGTAGGAAAAGACCTCCATGAATCAGTATAATAACAATCAGCCCACTAACAGGTAGTAACACTAACACACCTTTTACATGGTACTTCAATGGGGCCATTTTGACAATGCTGATATGTGGAGATGTTGCCAGAAATGTTTCTCACATTTGTGGTGGCATTGTTTTTATTTTTTTATATCTATGTACAGAATGAGAAGGTGATGATTACTCATGTGAGTTTAAAGTTAGCAGTGTGTTGTTTAGCCTATATAAAATGTGTATTATGCAGTTGGAATCTGCAAGAAAATGTGCTTTAAATTAAGTGTGTGATGAGTTTTTGAAATAACCTGTTTGGTTTTGGTTTCTCTTCACATCTATGCATTCGTGCACTGTCAAAATGTCACCCATAGAGGTAACACTATAGTCTGTACGGTCCAAAAGTCAATTATTTAACACACTTCAGTGTTAGTCTTCTGCTTTATTTGCTCTGTGGTTGTCAGTCATTCAGGACTTTGAGTTCTGAGAACAGTTTCCGTTTTGTTTGATATGACTGTTACCTGTTTAGAGATGTGGCTTGTTTTAGAACGTCTGAAGACCTTTGCAGGTTTTGTCGTCATAAAGCAGAAGTAGCAGTAGCATAGATTCTCATCTGCATATCTCAGAATATCACAAGATCTTAGATTGCTATTTTATTTGAATTCTGTTGTTGATGACAGTAAGCAGGAAGTCACTGTGTATGATGCCTACTGGTATCCTTTATTGTGAAGTGATTCTTGTTGTCAAAATGTGGGGTTAGTAAGTGGCAACTTGTAGGTGAGTGGGGTCAAGTACTACTAATATCGCCACCAATTTGCTGACAGTCATTCTGAAATGATGATACCTGTTCTACATGTATTTACAGTAGATCTCAGGTGTACATGTACAGTACGCCAGTTGTTTATTGGTGTTCTCTGTTGTGTCCTCATTATTGAAGTAGCTTAGAGTGGAAATGTAGGAGAAATCTTCAACAGCTCATTGCTTGTGGTTGTGCAACTTTTATTTTATAATATTTCTTACAGAATCTTGGATTTCCTGAAGTCATGAGCTAATTTTAGACTGTATAAAGGAGAAGCAGCATTAGATGTGTATCTGCGTATCTCAGAATATCAGAGGAACTTGATTGATTCTCTTCGTGTTGTTTGTGATTTCTTCTGAGATGGTACTTTCACAGAACTTTGCTAGAATCAAGCTTTGACGATTCTTCCAAGCAGATGCAGGGTTATGCTGAAATATCATTTGGTGCAACTGTTTTCCTCTTTAAGCTCCACTAACCGCAGACAGGATAGGAGTCATACAGCCCTTAACTGGGGGAGTTGATTTATAGACAAACTTTGCTCTTCTGTCCTCAGGGACGGCTGGCAACAATGCCAACAGGGTTGAGTCGGTGACAAAACCTGAAGACACTAGCTAGGTTTCCATCCAATTGGGCGACCGATTTTCATGCGAATATTCTAAAATCTGCATAAAAACTATATGCACGTTTTCCCACCAGAGATGTGTTTCCATTAAACTGACTTGTTGCGGATAAAAGGCTGTGTGTGATGACGTAGTGCACATAAAAATTACATTTGCAGGTACATTTCCATCTAATGGGTTTCCATCCCATTTTCAACTGTACTGATGGCTTTGTCACAAAAAATTTGCACTCTAGCCAACAGCTCGCAGATACAGTGTGGGCATAGCATACATGATGACATTATTATGGACAAATGTGTGAGATTATTTGTATTCGTCAAACGGCAGCCAAGCATCAATCATCATGTCACCAGAACCTCAATATTTATTAGAAAGTAGTATCAAGCTCATCACCTTGCACTTTCACCATATTTCATCTGTAGCCTAGTAAACTGTGTACTTTCCCGAGTCGTAGTGGAAGGACCACACAACAAGTCATTGCGTGACTCCAAGTTTACTTCAGTATCATGGTTATTATATTAATATTTGCACATAAAAGCGATTCCACTGCCATTTCTTACATAATACATTTTACAGACACAAAAAGATCCCACCTTGTCTAACTTATTTTGTTTTGTCGACATTTGGAAAGTCTACTGACAAATTAGCTGTTTCCATCAGGCCTGTCATGACATTTTTAATCCGAAATGTACTTTACTCACATAAAAAGGTTAGATGGACACCTGGTTACAGATTGAGGTAAAGGGGCATTCCACTAGAATTCTACAATCAAATATGTTGAGGATTGTTAGAACAAGACGGGTTTGAAAAACATATTGTGGTGGGTGGGAGGGCTTGCACTGTCTAAGAAACCACTGTCTGGGAAACACTGGTGGTTCAGTAAAGAGGCTGTAGTATACCTTTTACCCTCTGTGTGTTTCCTCAGGGGGTGATGATGAGACTAAAACGGTTGTCAGCGCTGAACCAGGGGGTGACCTAAACGCAGCTGAAAAAGGAGAGGTGAAAGCAGGTGTGTATGAGAAAGGAATAGCTCACCTCAAGTCCCGCTGAATGCATCAGGATAAATGTACAGACCTCAGTCTCAAATAGATGGGAAAGACTGGCATCATCTTAAACTGTCATAAATGTTCATAACACAGCAAGAATCAGTGCCATTGTAATTAAGGCATTCTTGAATCACATTAATTCTGAATGATTTTATTTCTCCAGTTGAGTTCTCCTATTGTGTGTTTTCTTGCAGAGGGGTCCATGCTGCTGAACGAAGACAGGGTGAAGTACCACAATGACAATGGAGAGGGGGCAGCAGAATGGAATTCAGTATTGAAGGACGGTAAGTTGGAGTGTGATAACAATGTAGACTATTTTCACTTCATTTCCCTTTATTGTGCAATACTTCTACCCCACTCTGGCCAACTCACTGTAAGTAGACTGTTAGTCTGTTACTAACTCTTGTTCCTACTGATTTATTCCTAACTGACGTCTCTCTAGTCAGGGAACTGTGGACCAGAGGTATACAGAGGATCATGAAGACAAGAGAACCCACCGTCTCATCTGGGCTACCAGCACTGGACGACAAGACATTCTAACGTTCAGAGAACATTTCCATAGCAATAGACTAGTTGGTGATTTGTGAAACTGAGGTCCATTTATAACAGTGTGCTTTATAAAAAGTGTGGGAAATGTGTAGCAATAATTTGACCCCTATAAGACCTTTTTGCAATTTAGTATAAGTATGCACAATCCCAACAAAAAGCAAAGCACCTTTAAAGCGTCATATTAAAACTTTGATAAAAAATGATAAAGCAGCAACATAAATCTTAAACCAACTCAAAACTGGATGCAATAAGGCTTTTTTGTATTGGATATAACCAGCAATCAAATCAAATCAATAGTCAATACCGTCAATAGTCCAAAGGTCAAAGTCAAAAAGAGATTCAGTTCAACCAAAAATGTCCTTTAAATCCATGATTCCCAAGAATTATTCAATTCAGTTCTTTCCCAAAAAAGGTAAATCAACAGAAAATATAAATTATAATCCAATAGGAAGAGCAGGAGAATCAATCAACAATTCACATTCAATCAGATACGCTCATCACTCCTTGGTGTTGAATGGAAGTCCTTCCCAGCTCCCATCCTCGCAGGAGGCCTTTTGCTACACCATCATTGTTAATAACAATTTGTTGTTAATTGATTTGCCTAGTTAAATAAAATAAATAAATAAAAATGTCAGAAGTCCAGTAATTCACTTTTCCAGGCAAATAATTCAGTGGAACAGGTTTAAAATACACCATTACGGAACTATTTTACTTTCAAAGTTTTCTAAAAACCATTTCCTCTTTGTTCCTCACACCACAGCCTTTTTGTTTCGCTCTTTCCTTTCCTACCCACATGACCCCATACTTAAATTGACAGGTATCATTTTTGACCAATCAACAGAATTTCCACTCTGCTGCACTTAAATCATGGCATTGAGTTACATATTTTTTTTAACCTAGGAATACATGCATAACCATTCATTCTGTTTAATTTCATATCACATTTAATGTGGCGACGTTACACGTGTCAGTTTATTTTAATATCGTCTAGTAAGTAATGTCCAAAGCTGCAGCTTCTACTCTGCATATTTCTGAGCTTCAACCTCTGTAATCTCTTCTATTTAAGAACAAGTGTATGTCTAGCGAGTGTTATGCACATGTCAAGATATTAGGTCTTCTGTATTTTAACTGTGAGTTCTTTGCCCGCCTGCTGGAATTTGACCTCCTCTCAACAGACAGGAAATGAAAGTTTTTTATTTATTTATTTGCTCTGTGTGCTTTTCAGGTGTTTTTCATACAATCAAAATGTCTAATGTCATTTTTGCATGACAATTTGTTTTAGAAAAATAAATTGTTTGTATGCTTATATTGACATTATAATTTCCCCCTGTTGTACATTAATCATTGTGTGTGTGTGTGTGTGTGTGTGTGTGTGTGTGTGTGTGTGTGTGTGTAATGTATGTATGTATGTAAGAAATATTATTTTGAAAAATGTAAATATTTTGTATAAAAGCCTTTATATAATTTGAAAAAAAAACACTGTATCAGGCCATTTTGAAATATATTTAAATAGGATGAAATAAACAAGTGATGCTGCTGAGAACTTTTGTCTGTCAAGTATTTTTCTCCGCTCATGTAGGAGTATTTATTAAAATGTTAATTAACATAAATATATACAGTACCAGTGAAAGGTTTGGACACACCTACTCATTCAATGGTTTTTCTTTATTTTTTACTATTTTCTACATTGTTAATAATGGTGAAAGACATCAAAACTATAAAAGAATCATGTAGTAACCCAAAAAGTGTTACAAAATCAAAATCAATTTTATATTTGAGATTCTTCAAAGTAGCCACCCTTTGCCTTGATTACAGCTTTGCACACTCTTGGCATTCTCTCAACCAGCTTCATGAGGAATGTTTTTCCAACAATCTTGAAGGAATTCCCACATATGCTGAGCACTTGTTGGCTGCTTTTCCTTCACTCTGCGGTCCAACTCATCCCAAACCATCTCAATTAGGTTGAGGTCGTGTGATTGTGGAGGCCAGGTCATCTGATGGAGCACTCCATCACTCTCCTTCTTGGTCAAATAGCCCTTACACAGCCTGGAGGTGTGTTGGGTCATTGTCCTGTTGGAAAACAAATGATCTGCCCACTAAGCGCAAACCAGATGGGATGGCGTATCGCTGCAGAATGCTGTGGTAGCCATGCTGGTTAAGTGTGCCTTGAATTCCAAATAAATCACTGACAGTGTCACCAGCAAAGCACCCCAACACCATCACGCCTCATCCATGCTTCACGTTGGGAACCACACATGCGGAGATCATCCGTTCATCTACTCTGCGTCTCACAAAGACACGGCGGTTGGAACCAAAAATCTCACATTTGGACTCATCAGACCAAAGGACAGATTTCCACTGGTCTAATGTCCATTGCTCGTGTTTCTTGGTCCAAGCAAGTCTCTTCTTCTTATTGGTGTCCTTTAGTAGTGGTTTCTTTGCAGCAATTCAACCATGAAGGCCTGATTCATATATATATACAGTGGGGAGAACAAGTATTTGATGCACTGCCGATTTTGCAGGTTTTCCTACTTACAAAGCATGTAGAGGTCTGTAATTTTTATCAAAGGTACACTTCAACTGTGAGAGACGGAAGTTAAAACAAAAATCCAGAAAATCACATTGTATGATTTTTAAGTAATTAATTTGCATTTTATTGCATGACATAAGTATTTGATACATCAGAAAAGCAGAACTTAATATTTGGTACAGAAACCTTTGTTTGCAATTACAGAGATCATACGTTTCCTGTAGGTCTTGACCAGGTTTGCACACACTGTAGCAGGGATTTTGGCCCACTCCTCCATACAGACCTTCTCCAGATCCTTCAGGTTTCGGGGCTGTCGCTGGGCAATACGGACTTTCAGCTCCCTCCAAAGATTTTCTATTGGGTTCAGGTCTGGAGACTGGCTAGGCCACTCCAGGACCTTGAGATGCTTCTTACGGAGCCACTCCTTATATTGCCCTGGCTGTGTGTTTCGGGTCGTTGTCATGCTGGAAGACCCTGCCACGACCCATCTTCAATGCTCTTACTGAGGGAAGGAGGTTGTTGGCCAAGATCTCGCGATACATGGCCCAATCCATCCTCCCCTCAATGCGGTGCAGTCGTCCTGTCCCCTTTGCAGAAAAGCATCCCCAAATAATGATGTTTCCACCTCCATGCTTCATGGTTGGGATGGTGTTCTTGGGGTTGTACTCATCCTTCTTCTTCCTCCAAACATGGCGAGTGGAGTTTAGACCAAAAAGCTCTATTTTTGTCTCATCAGACCACATGACCTTCTCCCATTCCTCCTCTGGATCATCCAGATGGTCATTGGCAAACTTCAGACGGGCCTGGACATGCGCTGGCTTGAGCAGGGGGACCTTGCGTACGCTGCAGGATTTTAATCCATGACGGCGTAGTGTGTTACTAATGGTTCTCTTTGAGACTGTGGTCCCAGCTCTCTTCAGGTCATTGACCAGGTCCTGCCATGTAGTTCTGGGCTGATCCCTCACATTTCTCATGATCATTGATGCCCCACGAGGTGAGATCTTGCATGGAGCCCCAGACCGAGGGTGATTGACCGTCATCTTGAACTTCTTCCATTTTCTAATAATTGTGCCAACAGTTGTTGCCTTCTCACCAAGCTGCTTGCCTATTGTCCTGTAGCCCATCCCAGCTTTGTGCAGGTCTACAATTTTATCCCTGATGTCCTTACACAGCTCTCTGGTCTTGGCCATTGTCTGTTTGATTGAGTGTGTGGACAGGTGTCTTTTATACAGGTAACAAGTTCAAACAGGTGCAGTTAATACAGGTAATGAGTGGAGAACAGGAGGGCTTCTTAAAGAAAAACTAACAGGTCTGTGAGAGACGGAATTCTTACTGGTTGGTAGGTCATCAATAAAATGCAAATTATTTACTTAAAAATCATACAATGTGATTTTCTGGATTTTTGTTTTAGATTCCGTCTCTCACAGTTGAAGTGTACCTATGATAAAAATTACAGACCTCTACATGCTTTGTAAGTAGGAAAACCTGCAAAATCAGTTGTGGTCAAAAGTTTTGAGAATGACACAAATACTCATTTTCACAAAGTCTGCTGCCTCAGTTTTGATAATGGCAATTTGCATATACTCCAGAATGTCATGAAGAGTGATCAGATGAATTGCAATTAATTGCAAAGTCCCTCTTTGCCATGAAAATGAACTTATTCCCAAAAAACCATTTCCACTGCATTTCAGCCCTGCCACAAAAGGACCAGCTGCCATCATGTCAGTGATTCTCTCGTTAACACAGGTGAGAGTGTTGACGAGGACAAGGCTGGAGATCACTCTGTCATGCTGATTGAGTTAGAATAACAGACTGGAAGCTTTAAAAGGAGGGTGGTGCTTGAAATCATTGTTCTTCCTCTGTTAACCATGGTTACCTGCAAGGAAACACGTGCCATCATCATTGCTTTGCACAAAAAGGGCTTCATTGGCAAGGATATTGCTGCTAGTAAGATTGCACCTAAATCAACCATTTATCGGATCATCAAGAACTTCAAGGAGAGAGGTTCAATTGTTGTGAAGAAGGCGTCAGTGCGCCCAAGAAAGTCCAGCAAGCGCCAGGACCATCTCCTAAAGTTGATTCAGCTGCGGGATCGGGGCACCACCAGTGCAGAGCTTGCTCAGGAATGGCAGCAGGCAAGTGTGAGTGCATCTGCACGCACAGTGAGGCGAAGACTTTTGGAGGATGGCCTGGTGTCAAGAAGGGCAGCAAAGAAGCCACTTCTCTCCAGGAAAAACATCCAGGACAGACTGATATTCTTCAAAAGGTACAGGGATTGGACTGCTGAAAATACATTTTCTCTGATGAATCCCCTTTCCGATTGTTTGGGGCATCCGGAAAACACACGGTGAGCGCTACCATCAATCCTGTGTCATTTTTTACATTTTAGTAATTTAGCAGACGCTCTTATCCAGAGCGACTTACAGTTAGTGAGTGCATACATTTTTCATACTGGCCCCCCGTGGGAATCGAACCCACAACCCTGGCGTTGCAAGCGCCATGCTCTACCAACTGAGCTACACGGGACTATCCAAAGTGACTTACAGTCATGTGTGCATACATGTTCGTATGGATGGCCCCAGCGGGAATCGAACTCAAGACCCTTGGCGTTGCAAGCGCCTTGCAACCAACTGAGCCACATAGGACATACTTTTGACCAGGGCCCATAGTAGCTCTGGTCAAATGTAGCGCTCTATATAGGGAATAAAGTGTAATTTGGGACACAAACCTGTTGTCATGTCAACAGTAAAGCATCCTGAGACCATTCATGTGTGGGGTTGCTTCTCAGCCAAGGGAGTGGGCTCACTCACAATTTTGCCTAAGAACACAGCCATGAATAAAGAATGGTACCAACACATCCTCCGAGAGCAACTTCTCCCAACCATCCAAGAACAGTTTGGTGATGACCAATGCCTTTTCCAGCATGATGGAGCACCTTGCCATAAGGCAAAAGTGATAACTAAGTGGCTCGGGGAACAAAACATTGACATTTTGGGTCCATGGCCAGGAAACTCCCTAGACCTTAATCCCATTTAGAACTTCTGGTCGATCCTCAAGAGGTGGGTGGACAAACAAAAACCCACAAATTCTGACAAACTCCAAGCATTGATTATGCAAGAATGGGCTGCCATCAGTCAGTATGTGACCCAGAAGTTAATTGACAGCATGCCAGGGCGGATTATAATAATAATAATAATATGCCATTTAGCAGACGCTTTTATCCAAAGCAACTTACAGTCGTCCGTGCATACATTTTTGTGTATGGGTGGTCCCGGGGATCGAACCCACTACCTTGGCGTTACAAGCACCGTGCTCTACCAGCTGAGCTACAGAGGACCACAGAGGTCTTGAAAAAGAAGGGTCAACACTGCAAGTATTGACTCTTTGCATAAACTTAATGTAATTGTCAATAAAAGCCTTTGACACTTATGGAATGCTTGTAATTATACTTCAGTATACCATAGTAACATCTGACACAAATATCTCATAACACTGACGCAGCGAACTTTGTGAAGACCAATACTTGTGTCATTCTCAAAACTTTTGACCATGACTGTACAGTGTAACGTTACTGAATGATTGTAGCGGGTTTACTATTGCGTTAGTTCTATTAGCTATGCTGACTATGACGTTACTTTAGCAAATATGGTGATAACGAT